GTCTGTCAATTTTGTTAATTTTTTCGAAGAACCAACTCTTTGTTTTGTTGATTCTTTCTATAGTTTTTTTGGATTCTAATTCATTTAATTCTGATTTAATTTTAATTATTTCTTTCCGTCTACTGGATTGGGGTTTATCTTGCTGGTCTTTTTCAAGGAGGTTCAGATGTCTCATTAAATTGTTGGTTTCAGATCTCTCCAATTTGTTGATGTAGGAGCTCAGAGCTATAAACTTGCTTCTGAGTACTGCTTTTGCTGTGTCCCAGAGGAGCTGGTAATTTGTGTGTTCATTTTTGTTGAATAGCATGAACATTTGAATTTCCTTTCTAATCTCTTCCATGACCCATTCATGATTCAGCAGTGTGTTGTTCAGCCTCCATGTGATACCAGACTTTCTTTGGTGGCTTTTTGTGTTGAGTTCTAATTTTCTTCCCTTGTGGTCAGAGAGAATGCAAGGTATAACTTCAATGCTTCTGAATTTGGACAAATTTGCTTTGTGTCCTAAAATGTGGTCTATTTTAGAAAATGTTCCATGTGCTGCTGAGAAAAACGTGTATTCTATGCTGCTGGGTGAAATGTTTGGTAGATGTCTGTTAAGTCTAGTTGATCTATGCAGCTGTTTAGATCTGCAGTTTCTCTGTTGAGTTTTTGCCGAGTTAATCTATCTAGTGGGGAGAGTGGTGTGTTAAAATCCCCAACAATTAATGTCTTTGGAGTTATATGGGATTTGAGGGAAAGTAGTGCTTCTTGGATAAATTTGGGTGCTCCATTGTTTGGCGAGTAGATATTTAGAATTGTAATATCCTCCTGAAAGAGAGATCCCTTAATTAGTATGTAGCGACCTTCTTTATCTCTTCTCACGAATATTAATTTGAAGTCTATTTTATCTGATATTAGGATTGCAACTCCCGCCTGTTTATGGGGGCCTTTTGCTTGGTAGATTTTGTTCCAACCTTTAACATTGAAAATGTGTTTGTTTTTATGGGCAAGATGTGACTCCTGAAGGCAGCAGATAGAAGGGTCTTGTTTTTTAATCCAACTAGACAGTCTATGTCACTTAATTGGAGAGTTCAGTCCGTTAACGTTAAGAGAAAGGACTGAGAGGTATTTGGGAGTTCCTGCTATGTTATCCACCTTCTTGGGGGTTGCGAAAACTGGGTTCTTCCTATGGTTCTTTGATTCTCAGTTTGGGTGCAGTTTCTTGACCTTTATTGCGGTCTTGTTGGTTTTCTATGTGTAGGACATCTTTAAGAATCTTTTGTAGGGCTGGTTTGGTGGAGATGTATTGTTTCAATTTTTCTTTGCTATGGAAGGTTTTTATTTGGCCTTCAGTTATGAAGGAGAGTTTAGCTGGGTACAGTATTCTTGGTTGATAGTTGTTTGTTTTTAGGGCATGGCATACATCATTCCAGGCTCTTCTTGCTTTGATTGTCTCTGCTGAGAAATCTGAGGTGATTCTAATTGGTTTTCCTTTATAGGTGATTAATCTTTTCTCCTTGACAGCTTTAAGGATCTTTTCCTTGGTCTGAGTTGATCCTGTATGGATTATAATGTGACGGTGGGATGTCCTATTCTGGTCTGATCTGTTTGGAGTTCTAAAAGCTTCTTGTATCTGAATAGGCCTATCTTTTTGCATGTTTGGGAAGTTCTCTGCTAGGATCCTGTTAAACAAATTTCCTAGGCCATTAACTTCTGTTTCTAGGTGCTCCTCTACACCCATTATCCTTAGATTAGGCCTTCTGATGGTGTCTTCCAAGTGTTGGATAGATCTATCATATTTCTTGGACTTGTCTTGGATGTTTGTATGTTCTTTCTCTATAATATCTAGGCTGTCTTCAATCCCTGAGATTCGATCTTCTGCATGGTCAAGACTTTCTACTTTGTTTTTTATCTCTTTTCCTTCTAATTGGTCAGCTTTGATGGCTTCACGTTCTTTGTTGAAGCTTTGTTTTAGATCTTGTACGAACTTCTTTACTTCCTTAATTTGATGTTCAGTGTTTATTCTCAGATCACTTAGTTGGTTGGTTATGGTTTCCTTGGACTCCCATTTCTTCTGTTGGGTTCCATTCAGCATTCCCTTTGTGGTCTCCCTGACTTCCTTCAGCTCTTTGTTAATGGATTCCATGAATGCCTTTAGTGATCTTTGTGTATTTTCTTCCTGCTCTCTCAATTCCTGTATTACTCTTTGATAAGCTTCCTCCCATTCGTGGGATTCCTGTAGTTCTCTTTGAGTGTTCTCAGCCTGTTCACGCCATTCCTGCCTTTCTCTTTGAGTATTCTCAAGCTGCTCATGCAAATCCTGTATCAGCTTTTGTGTAGCTTCCTCACGCTTATGATACTCCTGTATAAACTTTTGGAATGCCTCCTCTCTCTCCCTATCACGCTCATACAGAGTCCTTTGTACGTTGTCAAACTTCTCATTTATCATGTTTGCCAGCAGTGTTTGTAGAGCTATTTGGGAATTCTCCTCTGGATTATTCATTATCTGTTCTGTCCCCTGATTATCGGGATTGGGAATTGAGATACCCGGATTTGCCATTTTTCTTGTGTTTTTCCGGCTTACTCTGCCCATTTGCAATGAAAATAGCACCAGTTTTGTGCTCGAACACTATCTTAAGGCAAGCATCAACCCAAGTCTGAATTTGCACAGACAGTGGTCTACAGATACAATCTAGTTCAACAGATACATCTATTCAACATCAAACAACTATACGTTAATGGGCTATGAACCGCAAAGAAGAATGTGGAAGACCCGAAATTATTAGGGTTAGGGAGAGATGTGGGTAAAAAAATAGGAATAGATTGATGTGGGGAGGCTCAGGGGGAGTAAACTAAGTCTTAATCTCAAAGCAGGAAATAGGTTGGGTAGGATGAAAGTAGAGAGAGAGAGAAAAAACAAGAAAGGGAACGGGAAAAGAAAAGAGACCAGAAAAAATAGAAAGGTAGAAATTAATAAAATTATGTAGATTCAATAACAATCTATTTAGATAAGAACATGAATTTATTGAGAGAAGGGGAGGGATATAAAGGAGATGTGAAAAACTTAAAAAGAAAAATGCTTAAAATATTATATAGGTATAAAGAGGTAGTACTGCTATTAAGGAATTTAAGTCTTAGAGGTTTTGACTTGAGTAATAAATTTGTGGATTAAGTGTGTACACAATGGGGGATAGGGTCTAATAGTCAACTACTGGTTTATCTGAGGGTGTGCAGGATAAGAATTAAGTCACATAAAGAAGATCGAAAGAGAGGAGAAGGTGAAAAGGATAATAAAGGAAGAAGAAAAAGATGAGAAGTTCAGTAGAGCTAAACTAAAAACAAAAAGATAATTTAAAAAGAGAAAAAAAAAAGAGAAAGAAGACCAAAAAAGAAAGCAAAAACACACACTCTCGTCTCCCCTAAATAAAATTATAAGAGGAAAAGAAAGTTTCTGGAAAACAATTTTTTTTATCAAAAAAGGCAAAGATTAAAGATTGAAAAACGTTTTAGAAAAGAAAAAAAAATTTTTTTTTATATAAGGTACCAAAAATAAAAACTAAAAAAAAAAAAAGAAGAAGAGAAAAAAGAAAAACAAACAAACAACAAACAAAAAACAAACAAAAAAAAAACTTCTTTGATTTTTTTGGGGGAGTAGTGGGAAAAATCCTGTATCTCCCTTGTGTCCGTAACCAGTCTCTTGTTGGGGTCTCTGGTCTGCTTGTGGTCCTGTGGCTTGGTTGGTTTCTTAAGTCAGTTTGTTCGAACAGGCAGTAAAATGCTCTGCTTTACCCAGGATTTGGCGATCCTCCTCCCAGGCTAGTTCATTGGGAGACAGATCTGCTTTGAGTATCACAAAAGAGGGGGATGCAGTGAGGAGGCTAGGTTCTGGTAGCTTTTCCAGGGCTGGTTTGTGAAAACCTCACAGAGCCCAGCCTGGAGCCATTCTAAGGGTTTCTGTTTACTGATTTTCAATTGCTTGTCGAGGCTGCTAGAGGGAGAGGCAGCCTCTGGCTCTGATTACCCAGTGAAGAAACCCACTCCTCGGGCTGGCGCCCGAGCTGGGTGACTTTTCCCTGGGTGGAGCTGAGTCTGGCAGGTCATACTGCCTTTAAGTTCTTGTGACCTGCTAAATGATGCTAGTTTTATTCCAAGGCCTGAGCTGGAGCTAGCAGCTCCGCCGAGCTTTGTCGGTATGCAAGATGGAGATCACCGGTGCTGGGGGGGGGAGGGGTGGCTTTCCCTCCTCTGCTCCCTGAGAAGGAGTGAGGACGTCAGGCTTCTACTCACAACGAGTCTTAGTTCCTGGGTCGTCTCTGGTCTGCGAACTGCAGGATGAAGATGTCCGCTCCTTGTCGGTTCTTGCTGGTGTTGAGTAGAATCCTCGCGCCTGCTGTGTCTGGCTCCTTCGTCCTGGACTCTCTGTTGCTCAGGTATGGCGGCTGCGCTCGCCCGCCACCGCCATAGCTGCCGCCGCGGCAGCGGCTGCTGGCAAGGGCTCAGAAGTGTCTCCTTGCCTGGGTTTCCTTCTCTGGCCTATGTCTCTGTCCTGTGATGGCACACGTGGTGTAATTCTCTGACTTAGGACTGTTCACTGGAACTCTAAAACTGCTTTCTATGCGAGAGCTTACTTAGACTCCAGCTTCTCCTCCACCATCTTCCTGTTGAAGCCTCGGCAGAGTTCTTATACAGCGTCATTGAAAAGCATTTCTTAAAGCTTTTAAGCAATCCTTCTAGCAGCTCTAGGCCTAAGGGCTAACCAGGCTTTTATATACTGGGAGATGAAAGCATATATAAATCAGTGTATCTCAAAATTTTACTAAAGTGAATTTAAACATATCAAGCCATTCTTTTTTTTAAACTTCCAGTAAAATTTCACAAAGTACAAAAGTAAAGGTGTATTAGATGGTGATAGATAGATAAATAGATACATACAGACAGACACATACATAGGTACATATATAGATAAGTAGAGATATAAATATAGACATAAAATGTACAATAAATGTGACCAATTCACTTACCAGTTCCATTAAATCTTTTAACTTCCCAATTTCTTCTGGAATGGATACCAGTTTATTATTACTGATGACCAAAACTTTAAGAGGAAGATCAAACAGGTACTTTGGCAATGTTGATAAAAGATTTCGGCTGAAAAGATTAAGAAAATCTTATTATGAGAAATATGCGTGAAAATTGGCATATTCTGTTAAAACAAAAGAGTACAAATCACCTGGAAATAAAACAATAAACTTTTACTAAATGACAGTCCCACTTAGTGAGTACGTAGCTTCTATCAAGCACATGTGAATTCTTTACATGAACTATTTCATTTAATCATCACATTAACTCAATAAGTAGTATCTCCATTACAGAAAATGGAACTGAAAACTAGTTCAGTGACCTGTCCATGAATTGCAGAACTTTCCACACAAGTGTGACTGCTATCTCTGATACTGCTTGTACCCAATCTGGGATCAAAACTCAGACTGATTCTTCTGAGCTAAAGAATGCCCTACACTCCGATGAATTCAGTATGTTCAATGCCTTGATTCCTTTAGCTCTAAAAAAGTAGCATTTCTTATGTTCCAAGCTGAGAAAGAATAAGTAAGACCCTATGTGTGATAACTCCAACACACACTCCTATTTTACACATGAAAAAAAATCTCACACTGGTAAGGGAGAAAGCTAAGAGTCAAACAGAGGAAACATGGCCAAGTAACCCTTGGCTTCAAGCTATTAGGGTTAGATTTTAATATCATTGCAGGCTGACTGACCCAAAAGATGCAAATATCACAATATAAAAAGGGTTCAATTCAATTTGTGCAGTGACAAGCATTGAACAAGAAATAATCTCTTCTGTTTTTTGAAAGTGACAATTACAGTCCACAGCAACAAAAGGCCAATTCGAGAGGAGCAATTCAAGACTCTCCACCTAATGTTATCCATGTGGAAGATGTTGAGAAACACTTGAGAGACTTTTTTTTTTTTTTTTAGAAATGCATTTATTTTTATTGAGGATCTTTTAGGTTTCTTTTTCTTAAAATCTATTTAATAGAACTTTGAGCTTAGATCATATAAAAACTGAAAAATTCAAAGGAGGAGGCAACAATGCTTGATAAGAAATGTACTCATTACCTTGCCACTTGAGAGACTTTTACAATCAAGTGTAAAGCTAGAAAAAGACAATGCTTCTCAAATAGTAATGCTAGACAGGCTACTAGAATGTCAAATACACTGGGGTCGGTCACAAGCCTTCACACTGAAGCACCAAGAGGTTCCTTGAAAAAATGGTCAGTCTGGGCCTCGTGTGCTGGAGCACATAAGGATTCTACAGCAAGAATCAGAAAGTGGGGAGTGTGCAGAATACAAGTCAAAAACCATCTTAGCCATTTATTTAGATATTTTACAAAACTAAAATAATAAATAGGAAAATGAGAGCAAACTGATTCTAATTATCCTCTAAGAAATAAAGGGCCCTTAAAATCCATTTTCTTTCCCTTAAGAAGCATGATAATCTAAGGGGTCTTTAACTCCCATTTCCTGCATGGGGAACAGCAACTGTGTTCTCCCTGTTCTCAATTTCTCCTTCTTTTCACCCAGTTGTGATCAAATAAATACTTGCTAAAACAAAAAGGAGAACCAGAAGGATGAAACAGATGAAGCTAATTGAATTAGCCTAATGATCTTTTTCCAGAATCCAGTTTCTTCCAACAAAGCAAGTAAGTCATTAATCAACTCTTCTTTACTACATGTTTTAGAGGAGACCAAATAAAGCCAGTCACTAGAGCAAATGTTATTTCAATATAGTATGTTTGAAAATGTCTGCCTGTAAACAAAAATCAGTACTCAACTTTTAGAGGAGATCATATAGAACTAGGAGCATAGCTATAGGGCAAGGCACCAACCTAGCTGAGGCCCTGAGTTCAAACACCAGTACCCCCACCAAAGGATAGAAGAGGAAATTTTAGTAAAATTTTTCTAAGACATACCATACATGTTTATGCATAAATGTAATTCAGTTCTTAGAAAGTCATTTATTCCATAAAAGAATAAAATGAAACATAAAACTATCTTCCTTTCCTCAAATATCTCATAAGGTAGGCCAATGAGACTGCATTATTACTTATGCACATTAATTATATTTACCACTTCCCTATAAGGGAACATAGACAAGTAACTTAGTTAATGGAAGCTATGAAAATAATTCAAAACCAAAGTTACAACATGCCAGATTTCCATTCAATATCATTCACTTGGCAAGCCAGTGCTTTTCTTATACATGAGTAGCAACTCTTTTGTAAATTCCAGATAAAAGCAGTACAGCCAGAATCACTTACTGACTACAGTTGGCCCTTTATATCTATGGGTTCTATTTCAGAGGCTTCAACCTATTATGCATGGATCAATAATATTCAGGGGAAAAAATCTGCATCTTACTGAACATGTGCAGACTTTTTGTCATTATTCCTAAGCAAATAGCAACTATTTCTACAGCCTTTATAATAATCATATAGAGATCAGAGAAACTATAGGGAGCATGCACATGGGTTAGATGTAAACAACATGCCATTTGCTGACTTGGTATCTGAGGCAAGCTTTGGAATTAATCATCACAAATACAAAGGGACAGTTGTATGTATGACATTGGACAAATAGCTAAGCCACTTTCTTTTCTTGTAATGCAGGGACAATAACAGTGCCAATCGCAAAATGCTGTTGGAAGACTTAATAAGCTAATATGGGGAAACATGTTCAATACTACCTGGCACATAGAAAGTACTTAATAAGCAACACTGACATCAATTTGCAACTTTCCAAAAATCCATCCCAATCTATCCATTCTTGAAGTAGCAACAAATCACAAAAACAGTAAAAATTTTTAGCAGAGGATCACAATGGTTCAATATAACCATATAAAATGATGCTTATTGAAAAAAACTTCAATATATGGAAAAATGAAGTTATTTTAGTGTACTATTTGTAGTTATTTCTTTTTTTCTTTCTTTTTGTTCTTTTTTCTCCCACTTTAGTTTATTCCCTTTTTACACTGTTTTTGATTTCTGTATCTTGCATGTAACTTTATCTGACTTGGGGAAGCGAAGGGGAATCCCAGAAATGCTGGGACAAAGGGTGAACCAATGCAATAGTGATACTAGATACTATGTTGAAAATGAACTTGATACCTTGAGGGGGTGAGGAGTCAAGAAGGGAGAAAGTAGGAGAAAATTAGGGATGGGTGACACTGTTCAAAAAGAAATGTAGTCATTAGCTGACTGACATAACTGTAACCCCTCTGTACATCACTTTTACAATAATTTTTAATTACTTAAGAAATATTTATATTTCACTGAAACTAAGTGAATCTGTACTATGGTGCCATGATTTCAGGAAAATAGGTATGGCCTTGCTATTCAAAGTGAGGTCTAACTACCAACAGGCAGGCATGGTCATTACCAGATCTGTTAGAAATGCAGGCTCCATAGTAGATTCAAGGAATTGATATCCACTTTTAACAAGGTTCTCAAGTGAATGATTGCTGTGCATAAACTGCTTTACAGAAAAGACCAAAGCCCTACAAAGCAATGTGAATATTGCAAAACACATAAGATATTATGGAGATAAATACAGGCTACACAGCCAAACTAAACACAATCCTTTGCTACTAGGAATAATGGGATCAATAAGAAAATCCAAAATTTATTTAAAAGAATTTTCTTACCTAATGTTAAGGTATGTTAACATCTGCAGGTTTTTAATGGCTTCAGGAATGGTTTTGATGCAATTATGATATAAGTTTAATGTTTCAAGAGGTGCAAATAACCACACATCAGAAGGAATTTCTGTAAAGCGGTTTCTAGAAAGATCTGAAAAACAAAAATAGTGTTTGCGTATCAAAAATACACATATCTACAGAAATTAACAAGACTTTTTTCCATTTTATATTTTTTATTTTTTTGTTGGTTGTGGGAGCTGAACTCTGGTCTGGGCACTGTCCCTCAGCAATTCAGCTCAAGGCAAGCACTCTACTACTTGAGCCACAGCGCCACATTCTACTTTTTTCCATTTTATGTTTTGAATTTTATGGGCATATTACCCTAGTACCAAATTGTTTTAGATATACCCCATTAAAAATTAATGTATATGTTTTATGCTAGAAGACTTTATTTACTTTGAAAAATATTTTAATTTTGTTGACTTCCTTTATTGTTCATTTTCTAATTCCTTAACTCCTTACTTATCTCTGTCATCTTCAAAACAGAACAATTTTACACTTGCTGAATCACTTAGAACCTAAGCAACTATTAAAATATTATAAATATTATGGACCAATTCTGTGAAGATAAAAATTTTTAAAAGTACAAATATCGAGGCACTGGTGGTTCATACCTGTAATCCTAGCTTCTTAGGAGGCTGAGAATTAAGTATTATGGTTCAAATCAAGCCCAAGCAGGAAAATCTATAAGACTCTTATTTCCAATTAACCACCAAAAAGCCAAAAGTGGAGCTGTGACCTAAGTGGTAAGTACCAGCCTGAGCACAAAAGCTCAGGGACAGTGTTCTGTCCCTGAGTTCAAGCCCCAGGACCAGCACAAAAATTATAAAATATACTCACAGAAGATATGTTTATTTAAAAACACACTTCAAGCTGGGCACGAGTGGTTCTTGCCTATAATCCTAGCTACTCAGGAGGCTAAGATTTGAGGATCATAGTTCAAAACCAGCCCAGACAGGAAAGACCCTGAGATTCTTATTTCCAATTAACTACCAAAACATCCAGAAGCAGAGCTGTGGCTCTAGTGGCTACGTGCTAACCTTGAGTCAAAATACAGCACCCAGGCCCTGAGTTCAAGCCCCAAGATCAGCACCAAAAAATGTACTTCAAAATGATACTAACAAAATCTGCTTCAAATTCTAAAATCCAAATCTGACATTCAGCTTTAAAAGTATTAGTGAGGAATTATTTCTGACGTTTAAAAAAATCCCTCAAGATTCCACAGCTCCCTCCATCTTTCTCTCTCCCTCCTTCACACCCAAGTTCACATAAATCCACAGTACAACTAAATTCTTACCTTCCTACCATGGACCTGTTACCCTAGTACAAGTTGGTTTCTGGTCATTCCCTATCAACCAAGTAACCAGCAACTTACATATCAACAACCAGTTCATGTATCTGGAAAAACTCTCATGCTTTAGCCTAAACAACCACCCTTTTGGATTTTTCCCACTACCTTTATTATGTCTGAAGTTTCTTTGGCTACATTTTCCTATACCTGAATTAGGAATGTCAATCTTTTCAAAAGTTAAGACTCTCTTTTTAAGACAATCTACTGAGTGACTTCATCGTCACATGTCCAAATTATATTCATATACTGAAAAATTACAAATTCAGAATATGTATAAGTACCTTGTTCGTTATTTGTTTGATACAGGGTTCTGCTATGTAACTTATCCTGGCCTAAACTAAAAATCACCTGCCTCAGCCTCCCAAGTGCTAGGATTACAAGTGTGTCACTATGTGCTCAGCTTCAAAGGATATAATGATCTTCCATACTTCCTCCTTATGCCTTTCAGGAACCTCAGATTCTACAAATATGAAACCTGACCTGAACATGTTCTTCTAAACCATTATTTCTCAGACAGTTACCAAAATGTTCCCGGATAATTTGCTCAAACTGGTATTCTCCTTCCTCATTCCAAGGGATGAGACATGTTTACTTAGGGAAATAGTAAATTCAGAATATTAATATGCATGTATTAGTATATAATATGAATGAATGGATGAAGAGAAGAGAGGGAGAGAAATGAAGAGACATGGATTCTTGTTTGTAATTGACAAGAGAAAGAAATATATAATGTGAAAATTAGATTTTTCTTCCTCCCATTGTAACATTCTGAATATCTGAATAAACTGATAGACTTACGATACCAACATCTAACCTTAAAATCAAGTTTCTGGATATCTGGCTTACCTGGTCTGGTCTATTGAGTAAGGAAATGAAGCCATTATATGTAGTTTAATGTTTCTGTTTCTTTTACATTTAGAATTATATCTCTATTCATCTAACTTCAGGAAAATTAATGGTTACCAATAATTTGAAATCCTAAAGACAAAAAGTATGTCTAATTGGTTTTCAGTATAATATCTAAAATTTATTACTAAATAATGTACTGGTCCTAGAGATCGATGACAGTAGCTTGAATAAAAACCACAAGAATGATGAAAACGCGAAAGTGGATAGAATTTAAAACACAATTTGGAGTTCATACGTAAGAGGGAAAGACAAGGGCTAGGCTATGGGGAATAAATAAGAGATATCAAAGATAGCACACAGGCCCCTTCATGATGCTACTCAAAAAAGTGTGTGAATCGAACAGAAATTTTTGTTGTTGCTATTGGTGGGATTTTATTTTGCTATTTGAAAGAGGGCTTCAGTCAAGAGCTCAACTTTATTTGAAAGAGACTCAAGGGAGATTGCTAAATAAACATTTCACAGGTGATTGTACATCTCAGAAGTGAGGTCTGAAACAGACAAATAATTGGAGGTTGTGGAAATCATAGAAATAGATGACATCATAGGTCCCAGGGTTTCCCTTATTTGCAATAACTAGTATATGTCTGAGACAAGCAGAAACAGTCAGATAAGTTGATGTTAGGCAAAATGAACCCCAAGATAAGGACTCAAATGTTTTTTCTTTCTTGTTGTTTCTAACATATTTATAAGATATTTCTTTGTTGCTTTGTTTGTCCCTCCCCACGGTATAACCCCTGTTCTCACTATATTTGATGTAGGTATAATTTGTGGAGGGGAAGGTGGACCTATCGCAACAATGAGATATACAAGACATTATGTCGAAAAACGAACTTTACAACTTTGGCGCACAGGGGGGAGGTGGGGAGGAGGGAAGGGATGGTAAGGGGAAACAAAGGAGAAGGCAACAATGTTTGATAAGAAATGTACTCATTACCTTGCTCATGTAATTGTAACCCCTTTGTACAGTATTTTCACAATAAAAAAGAAATAGATGACATCATATAACATCAATGTATTGAGATCAAGATAGGCCATCTATCTGCCTGGAGTGTTATGTGCCTGTAGTCCCAGCTATTCAGGAGAATGAGGGAGGATGATCACTTGAGCCCAGGAGTCTAAAACCAGAATAAGCAGCAAAGCCTACATCTCAAAAGTAAGGAGGGGGAGGCAGGAAGAAAGTGGGAGAGTAAGGGGAAGGAAGGGAATGGGCTATCAGGAAGGCCAACACTTAGGAACCAAGTAAAGAAAACAAGCAGAGAATACTAAAAGCAATAATAAAAAGAGAGTGGCCCCATGAAGACATCAAAAAAGTTCAGAGCTATAGGAAAAAAATCTATATTAATAATGACTTCAATAAAGTATTTCAATTAACAACAAGACATTACATTAATAATGGAAAAATTTTGCTTGATGCTTTATATTTTTCCCTTCTAAAAAAGATTAGTTGAATTAAAAGTGATAGTACAAGTTCCCTTAAGGAATTTAATTAAATTTATATCATAAACTATTTTCTGGATGTGTTCATGTAGTTATTTAGTAAACATTTAAAATTATGTTATTACTCTAGTTGAATGGAGCTAAATGAATAAAGAATAAAATCATAATTAAAACACAAGCTCTTATTTCTAAGTAAGGAAACCTAGTATGTTTAAGGTGTTTTTTTTTTTTTTTGTCAGTCATGGGGCTTGAACTCTGAGCCTGGGCGCTGTCCCTCGCTCAAGGCTCAAGGCTAGTGCTCTACCACTTGAGCTACAGCACCACTTCCCATTTTCTGGTGGTTTATTGGAGACAAGAGTTTCACAGACTTTCCTGCCCATGATCCTCAGATCTCAGCCTCTTGATTAACCAGGATTACAGGTGAGAGCCACGAGCGCCGGGCTATGTTTTAGATTTTTAAGTCAGTATAAACATCCTCTCTTTATAAGCATTGGGTAAACAAAATAATGCCAAAAGAACACTAAAACCATGGAAAGAAAGGCTGGAAATAACCCAAAACAGCTTATATCTTAATTTTGTGAATTATCTCACACTAATAGCATTTGATATTTAACTGGAAATGTGAAGATTAACTTCATAAAGATATAAAAATAAAACTCAATCATTTAAATCTTTTGTCTGTGATAAGCACTTATTGAAGGAGCTTCTATAACATTAAAAGTTATTTAATGAGTGTGAGGAACAATAGCACAAGCCTGTTTCCTCAGCTAGTTGGGAAGCAGAGATCTTCTAATCTCCAGATCACATCTCAAGATCTTTCCAGGCAAAAACACAGTAAGTTCCCACCTCCACAAACAAGACAGGCACAACGGCACATATCTGTAATACAATCTATGTGGGAGCCATAGGTAGGAGGGTTGCAGTCCAGCCCAGGCATAAAGGGATGGGAGTGTGGCTCAAATGACAGTAAAAAGAAGGAAAGGTTCCATCTAAAGACAGGAGAACAAACTGCTAATTTATTCCTTGGAGGATTAATTTCACAACAGTTTCAAAGTCTACCTTCTCCTTCTTTGGGAACAAAAAGGATTTAAGAAAAAACAAAAAGATGGCTAATCTTTTCCACACATAAAAGGGAAATTCATTTATTATTATCTTCATATGGTTGGCTGAAAAATAGCCCTGAAAGATAATCAGGTAATGATTCCTGGATCCTATGTTACCTTAAAAATCAACATTTTATAAAATATAATTAAGATTCATAGCAAAGAGGAGACAACCTGGATCATCCAAGTGAGCCCTAAATGATGTTCTCATAAGAAAAAGTCAGAGGAGACCAAGTATGGTAGGGCACATCTGTAATCTCAGCACTTGAGTGGCTAAGACAGGAGGATCTT